CCGCTGGCGGCACCATCCCTTACAATTGTATGCCCCGGGCGGGAAATTGGGGGGAGGGGGTGACGAAGGGGGAACAAAAGGTGGAGAAGTTGCGCGCAGCGCAAGAGAGAGGGGGAAGTTGCAAGTCGCAAGGCGCCGAGCAAGGCCAGAGCACGGCGCGGAGCGCGCCAGGCGGCCACCTTCTCGCTCAGTGAGCGAGCGGCGGAGCTGTCCTGCACCGGAATTTTGCCTGTTGCCATGTGTGGTACACCATGGAGTGCCCACATGTGGACAACTCGCAGATGGGTGCTGAACATGCCTGCATGTGTGTGGCACTGAGCCTTAACGCAGAACGGCTTGAACCAATCCACAGCCTGCAGCACGCAATCGAAGGCCTTGAAACCAGCAGGAGACGGAAGACGACAAATGGCCTTGCCTGCCGCTGCCACCTCATCAGCCCCGCCAGCCTATCGCCGCTGCTTTGGTTCTGAACTGCTCAGAAATGGCAGGCTAAATAATACCACGGTATTACACAAGCAATACAAAAACAGCATAATTACTGGCTGTCTGCAGAACCCATCTCTGCGTCTGACTCTCCCGCTGCTTGGTCGCCGCTGCCGCTGCCGCCATGTTGTGCGCCGCCGCCCTGAGCGTTCTTCCACTGCTTCCATTTCTTGATGAGCTTGACCTGTTCCTTGCTCTTGGCAGAGATCTCCATTTCCTTTTGGTTGATCTTCTTCTCGTACATGGCGCCCCACTCCTTAGCAAGCTTGCACGATTGCTTATACACCCCCACAGCAGGCACCTCGGGGTGGTCAGGCAGCATGTACCTGCATATGCATCAACATATGCATCAACAATGCTGGTGCTTAGCCCCACCCCGCCATCATGCCCCCATCCTCATGCATATCTCCCAGCAGCACACCTGCAGCCCTGGCACATCTTCTTCACGTCCTTGCCTCCTTGATTGTGGTGGCGCTGTGGCGGCCGAGCTGGCTGGCTTGCCGACGATGCCGCAGCGGCGGTAGCAACGGCCACCGCCGCCGCCGCCTTCGCTGCCTCTGCCGCTACCTGCGCTGCAACTGTGGCACCCTGCTGCTGCTGCTGCTGCTCCTGATGCACGTGCCGCCGCTGCGCTTGTGGATGGGGGCTGGCACCCAGCGTCGTGTGCTGCACGGCCTGCAACTGGCGATATGCAGAGTGATAGTGTTTCAGATGCCGCTCATGTGTGGCCAACAAGGTGCCAGCGGTATTGTTCAATAGCATGGTATGGTACAGGCTGTTCCAGGTTGCTGCCATTGCACCGTAATCCGTGCTGCCGCCAGGCGTCTCAAATAGGGGCAGCAGCGTCATAAAAAAACTGTCATGCATCGTGTCATGCCTATTTAGCGCGTATGCATCTACTACAGGGTATTTCTGCTTAAGCCTGTCTGGCACATGGTGGCTGTTTTTCACACCCACCGGTGTGCTGCCAGGAGGAACATCGTGCTCGGTTGACTTGCCGCGCTTGGCTGCACCTGCAAGGGTGGGCGTGCATTTGCGATGTGGTTGAGTGAAAGGGTTTGGCGCAATAATCAGGGCTGGAGCTGGCCCAGCCTGCTGCCCAGCACAACCACCTGCTGCCAGCATATCCGACACCGATGGCTTGCCACCGATGGCTGCCTGGCTGCCAGCAGCTGCCGCAATCTCCCCAACCAGCCGCTGCTGTGGATCAGCAACCGCTGCGGGTGCAGCTGCAATGCTGGTCTGCTGGTTTGCATCCACCGAGGCTGTTGCACTTGCTGCCGCCACCACCGCCCGCTGTGCACCCATGGCGGCTAGTAGCTCCTGCCGCCTGGCTGCATTGCTGCAGTTGTGCAGCTGTCTGGACAGAGCTTCCAATCGGCTGTTTGCAGCCCGCAATAGGCCGCTAGCCTCAGTGACAGTGCCGCTGGCTGCCGGTGTTGCTGCCTCCAAAAGGCTGCCTGCGCCCCACGGCTCCACCGCTCCGCTGGCTCCTGCTGCTGCCGGCCCTGGTGCCGCTGCTGCTGCTGAGCTGCTGCTGCCACTGCCGAGAATGTCCAGGGCCAGGTTGCCCAGGTGGTCCACATCGATGTCAAATGCCGCTGCTGCCGCGTTGCTGCACGGCGCCATCGGTGCCATGAAGGCGGGTGCTGCCTTGCAGCCCCCTCTGTAGTCAAGGTGCTCAGTGCCTCGTAGGGGCTCTGTGATGCCCCAGAACGGCTGCTTGATGCCAGCTTTGGCGCAGGTCAGATTGGTCTCATGCAAGAGGTCATGCCGCAGGGTGTGATACTGCTTGTACTCAGCCTGCCGGGTGACTGGCCTGATGCTGGTCAGCTGCCTGCAAGCACCCTCACGGAGCAGGGTTGAAAGGCACACTGGCCGGCATGCAATTCACACAAGTTGAACAGAGTTCCCAACACGGCACACCTGAACTGGACATCGACAAATGCGAGATGGGCAGTCTCCACAGTGCGGTGCGTGCCTGGCATGGCCTCTGCCAGCCACCGATGCATACTCTCCTGCTGGCTGGAGCTGCGCAGCGTGAGCTGCTCGGAGTTGGCATCTAAATAGTACATGTCTGGGGTGTCAAAGGGATCTGCAGGCAGGGCAGGGTCACAGCAGGTGTGGATGCTGTGTGGGGAGCATGTTTGATTAGAGCAGCGGCAGCAGGGCAGGGCAGGGCAGCAGGGTAGCAGGCCAAGGTGGCTGGACAGGGTAGGGCGGCAGCAGGGCAGCGCAGGGCAGGGCAGGGCTGGCAGCAGGGCAGGGCTGGCAGCAGGGCAGAGCAGCAGGGCAGGTGCTGCAGGGCAGGGCAGCAGGGCAGGTGAAGCAGGGTAGGGCGGCAGGACAGGGCAGGATCGCAACAGCCGCCACGCACCCTCCAAGTCTCCGTCCCTCGCCAGCGCAATGGTGTGCTGGTGCGTGGCGAGCATCTCCTTTGAGAGCAATGGCTTCTGTGTCACAGCGTCAACACTGGCAGGGTTTGTCTCCCAGAAAGTCCACAACTGCTCTAATGAGGCTGCAACCTCCGCTCCCTTTGGCGTGGCCCTGCAACAAACAATGCCATAAAGGTAAAGGTAAAGGTGGGGAAGAGCCTCCACAGGCTTAACTTCCCGGTTTTAACGTCTAGCTTTAGACCATTATTTGATCTGGGACGCTCAGCTGGGGGGAGGGTGGTCGGAGCCATGGAGAGGGTGCTCCATGGTCCACCCCCTCTCTTGATGCCCCTTGATCACGTGTGCCCCCTGCCCAAGGTCTGCTCACGCGGCCTATCATAGCGGGGTGACTGTAACACCTGATCTGCCCGACGCGCCAAGTGCAGTACCCCCCACTAGTAGTGAATGGGTCCCGGGGAGGCCTGTGCCGAAGCCTTGGCGATTCTATTAGGCGTTCCCGAAGGAATTGGCTTGGATTGGCGCTGAGCCGGTCAGCTATGCCGCGTTTGTCCTCACAAAGTTTCGACATGGGAGGAATCGAACCTGTGCCCTCTCGGAGGGTTTAGACACTAGCTCCAGCGCCTTCAAAGAAGGCCTTTCTTAGCCGCGGCCTAATGCCATGTAGGAACCCACAGCACACGGGGGCTGCGACCTCAAGAGCCCCCAGCCAGCATGCAACTCAAGTGGCTGCCTCACCAGCGCAGGCCCTTGCGCCTGAAGAAGGCACAGAACTGTGGCGTGTTGTACAACACCTCTGCAGCGGGCGCCATGTTGTGCGCCAGCCTGTACTGCAGAACAGAGGTACAGAATAATGCATGGTAACTTCGGCCCCACAATAGTGGGTACAATAAGTGGGCGCCATGGCCAGCAGTACCTCAGCCGCCACTTTCTCAGCATGCTTGCTTGTGTGGGCTTAAAGTCTGGTAAAGCAAGAACTAGCTTGCAACATAGACTCCCCGCCGAAACGGGACGGGAACCGGGCGAAAGCAGAGAAAGCAATAAAACAGGGGTGGAGCAAGGCGACATGCAACGCAAGCAGCTGACAGGGCACGCATCGAAACGTGTGTATGACTGGCAAAGTGGCATGGCGCATTGGGGAGAAACGCAACGGTACGGGAGCATGGGCTGGCCAAACGGCAGTGCGGAACGCTAGGTCACTAGAAAAGCAGGGAAAGGCGCACTATGTATGCAATGAGGGCAGCCCCGGCTCGGGGCCGTTGAGAAAGCAGTGGGCGGGAGGGGGGAGGCCCCGGTGTGGGCGGGCCCCATCGAGGGGGGATGGGGCGCGCAAGCGGCCAGATGGGGCGGGGCGCGGGCGGCAGTGGAGTCCTGCGGCTGGGTGGGATATAGGGCAATGAGCGTTGAGCAGTGTGCGATGAGCAATGAGCAATGAGCAGTGAGCAGCCCCTCCCTAAACAAAGTGAAGCGCAGGACGGGGTCCGGTGGATGGGAGGCAAGGAAACGCGGGGGGTTGCCACGTGCGCTACCGCCGCCGCCGCAGGCAGCACCCCTGCGGCGGCGGCAGCGGCAGCAAGCCGTGGACCCAAACGCCGTGCCGCCGCCGCCGCAGGCAGCACCCCTGCGACGGCGGCGGCAGCAAGCCGTGGACCGAAACGCCGTGCCGCCGAGTCCCGTGGCTGTGGCCGTGGGCTTCTGGCAGGAAACTACGGCCGCAACTCGG